TAAAATAATTCTTTAAAAATAATCTTATCACTGGAGGTGTGTGAGCAGAGGTGGATTTCCACTTAGTAGAAATACAGAAGAGAGACCAATATGATGTTTCCTAAGTGCAAACAGTCTTCAATTACCAAAATTGCTGTTTCAAAAACTTAAGCGAGGTGACTTCCCTTGCTTAGAGAAAATATTTTTGCTGCAAATAGAAGAAATGGTTAACCTCACTTGTCTCAGGAAATGAGGCATTAAAATTACAGCCTCTGTCCTCCAGCCTCCACTGTTACTAGATTTTAGTTCTGTCCATATTTGTTTTTGCATTTTCAGTGTTTACCTATTATTTGAACACAATCCTAACCTTTTTCCTGGCTTTAAGAGTCTTAAGCAAATTTTTCTTAACATTTTTTAAAATTTTGATTCATTAAAGTTAAAACTGCTTCTCTTGAAATTAAAAAATTATATATATATAGTAATGGCAAACTAAAGACAGTGCAGAAGAAGGGTAGACGATGGGGAGGGGAAGAGGAAATCAAGGGGAAAAAAGGCAAAATATTTAGTGGACACAAAAATGGAAGATTGTCTGCTGATGATAATGTGCATGGCAATGTCTTTGACTGGACTGATATGCAGTGTATTTAAGGTGGCAAAATTCATTTTGTGTGCCATAAAGATGTACAGTGAATAAATGTAAAAATAAACAGATAAATAACTACTATAGCCTAGATAAATAATGTTTAGGAAGTCAAATATCTTCCTGAGATCTAAGACATTATTTTGCCTAATGTATTGTCAAAATAACTTTTTAGAAAAAATAAATGATTTGACAAAATTTATTAGTAAAATGATATTATGTCTTTTTAAGGTTAAAAATAATTTCTCTTAATGGAGAGGATAGAAGGGAGGGGTGAAAAAAGGAAGGATTAATTATTGAAAAGCAATGAGACATTACATCATTAATTGATTAAATTGATCAAACGAGATTTAGATTGAAAAAAAAAAATGACAACCTCTTTGATATTATAAATATCAGGAAAATACTCTGCCTTCAGTCCTGGTCTCTGTGCTAAGACTCAGATCACTGGAAATATATGAACTAAAACATTTGATACGTACATCTCTAAGTTGGTTGAGAACAAAAATCCTTTCTGAGGCTGTGACCATGGGGTGATAGGACATCTCAAAGAAGATAATTCCCAGGCTGAAGAGATCTACTTTCTGCGGGAGAAAATAAATTGTAGTTAGAGAGCCTGGATACAAAAGCATGATGTGGAACATCCAGAAAAGCTCTAAGAATAAAGTAGAACCTCCCATGATCTCAGCTCTCAGGGATATTTACTACAGATATGCCTACTTTGTTTTCTAGACAAAAATAGGGACACATGCACTATGTACATACTACAAAACCTGAACCATACTACCACCTCTAATTTTTATTTACTTATTATAGTGAGAATATTTTTCAATATTATCACATTTTAAATTATTTATTTTTTTAGAGAGATTTTTGCTATAGGGCACGTGTGCTTACCAGAGAGACAGAGAGAGACAGAAAGCGAAAAATTACTCTCCAGGGCGGATGGCCATGCCACAATCCCTTCTACTCCATTCTCCTCTCAAGATTTTGGGCACGCACACATGTGAGCCTGGCATGAATTTTAAGCCACCGGCTGAGGGACCTGAACCGTAGTCAACTACATGGGAACCCAGCGATGTAACCGTTATGCCATCTGCTGGTCCTAGTTTATTTTTGAGAGGTATTTTGCTATAGAGTGCATGAGCTCACTGGAGAGACAGAGAGACAGAAAGCAAGAGATCACCTCCCTGGGCGGTAACCACGCTCCGATCCCTTTTCCTCCTTTCTCCTCTCAGTATCTTGTGCATGCACACACACCTGGTATGAGTTTTAAGCCGCTTAGTCTGGGACTTGAACTGTAGTTGACTATGTGGGAGTCCAGCGACGTAGCCATTAGCCATTACATCATCTGCTGGTCCCCTCCCCCCACATTCTTTTTTATAAACAGGTTTCTAAAACATAATTTTAATGACATACAATATTCAATTACATAGCAGTCCCATACTTTAGTTAACCAGTTCCTCATTTTTTAGACACTGTTAAATTTCACTATGATAAGTACTGCTGTGATGAAATCGTCTCACAGATGAAAAGATGAGGTCCTTGGTTGTATCCTTTGGATAAATTTCTTTCTTTCTCTCTCATTTTTTTTTTTAAAAGAGAGATTTTTGCTATAGGGTGCATGCATTGCTGGAGAGAAAGAGACAGTGAGACAGAAAGCAAGAAATCACCCCAGGGGCAAGGGGTGGGGGTTGGCCATGCCACAATCCCTTCTCCTCCATTCTCCTCTTGGGATTTTGGGCATGTACACACACACACTAAGTGTGTTTTCTTAAGGTGCCGGGTCTGAGACATGAACCATGGTCAACTACGTGGGAGTCCAGCGACATAACCATTAAGCCATCTGCTGGTCTCTCCTTTGGATACATTTCTAAAATGTAACTGAAAGGCTAAAGGGTACAGCAGTTTTAAGTATTTCATGGTACTCTTCCAAACCAACCCAAGGATGACCCTAAAGTTGCCCTCCCACACCAAGATATGTGCAGTCCATCTCCCCACACCCTCCTCGGGCACTTCAAGGTGTGCTTTAACTCCACACTGCAGCCCAGCATTCCCTGTCAGAGCCAAAGCCCAGGCTTGGGCTTCCACTGCAGGCCTGAGAAGCTGCTCTGATATGAACTGCCTGACTGACACATTTGAAAAATCTCATCATGGCTTTAAATCCCATCTGTGTGCTGATGCTTCTCAAATGTCTACCTCTTACTCTGACCTTGGCTCTGAACTCAAGTCCTGGGTGTCTAATAACCTCTGCACATCTCTAACTGCATTTCTGTCACGTATTTAAAGCTAACATGCCTCAGACTAGATTTTCCTGCCAGGTTTTCTCACCTCAACCAACTACCCTTCACCCTGGTGCTCCATGCAGAAACCTGAGCCCTGAACTTCTTTCCTTCCTTTCCCTCACCCGACAGCCCCTCCACCAGGAAAATCTCTCACTTCCCGCCTGTATCAGCACACTTCTCTCCATCTTTGGTGCAGCCACTGCAATCCCAGCTACAAGTGCTCCCCCAGGACTATTGCAGAGCCTGGAAGCAGCCTGAGTGAAGTCACTTGTTCAGGATCCTTCAATGGCACCCTGTGCACTTCAGATGAAACCCACTCCTTATTGTGCTAATGGACCCTGCGTGGATCTGCTACTGTCTTCTGCTCCATCCACCCTGCCTGCCTCTCCCCGCTGCTCACCACGCCAGGGCCACACTGCTCTTCTTTCTCACTGTCTTAAACTGCTGAGCTCTCCTCCAGGGTCCTGCCTTTATGTATGCTAATTCCTCTACTTGGCCCCTTAACCCTCCCTGGCATGCTTCAGCCCCCAACTTTGCATGGCTTGTCCCTTCTCATCCTTCATGCTAAATGCCATCCTGTCACAGAGGCCTCCTCAGGTCAGCCTACCTAAGGATGCCCCTACTGTTCTTTTCTTTTTAGCCTTTGCCAGTTTGATTGTTTTTCTTTTTCACTTGTCTATGGTCTGTTTCACCCACCACTGAGTAAGCGCCCAGAAGGCAGAGACCACATTAGTCTTTTTCACTTTGCTGCCTTATTTCCTGTGTTTCAGGACCTTGGCCAGGGTAGGGGTTAGTTCATGTGATCGCTGATGGATGGGCGGATGGATTGTAAGCTCCTGCCAGCTTTAGTCACTGTGTTGGGCTCAAGGTGTTCTGCCTGGAGTATAAATGAGTGAATGTTTTCAACTACTTTGGCTGGTAACTAAGCCCCGAATGCTGGAATCTTGACATTCTTACTACTACCTCACTCTTGAGATCCTTCCTTTTCTTCCAAAAACCCTGTACCTGGTTGTATGCAGATTTGGTGCTTCCTTGGACCTCTGGGCTGACATAGAGTGCAGTGCCAACCATCCCAGTCAAATGACCTGTGAGATGGAAAACAGAAAGCCTTCTGGTAATAGGGCTTACCGTAAGGCACGTTAACAATGACAAGAAAGGTTCTTAAGACTTAGGCACGATCTGTTAACTGCACCACTCACAGGAGGAAGCCACACACATCACACTTAACGACTGACCATAACTCACGCATGGCCACACACCATCCCACACAGGATGTGCTGCAGAGGAGGAGCAGTGCCACATGAAGACCCCAGACAGGCCAGTTCACCAGGTTAACTCCAAATTACCACTTGGGTAGACAAATAATTGCCTACCCATGGGAGTCAATTATTCTACTAACTGGGCTACAACTTCCTAGAGTTCTGAATAATCATACAGTGAAAAAGAAAAAATAAGGTATGTTTATAATTTTGTTAATTTCATGAATATTTAAAATTTACTTTAGAATAAAATCTTAACAAATGAAAAACAGGTTTCAGGCTATGAAATTTTGTGGCTGCTTTTTAATCCACAGATAAAATATACAGTCTTCTGAACATACCTGAAGGGTCTGATTTAATTAGGTGATCTCCTGCTTGATCATCTTGTTTGCTGTCAGCCTAAAATACAATATCAAATGTTAATACTGTACTAATCCATAAGAATGGCTTATCCATTTCTAAATGAAGATGGACTGAAAAAATACTACATGGAAATCAGAGTAACTTTTTTTTTTTTTGGAGAAGTTTTTGCTATAGGGTACGTGTGCTCGTCAGAAAGATGGAGAGAGACAGAGAGACAGAAAGCAAGAAGTCACCTCCCAGGGGGGATGGCCACACCATAATTCCTTCTCTCCATTCTCCTCTCAGGATCTTGGGCACGCACGCACACGCACCCAGCGTGAGTTTAAGCCACTGGGTCCAGGACTCAAACTGCAATTGACTACATGGGAGTCCAGGGACATAGCCATTATGCTGGTTGCTGGTCCTAAATCAGAGTAACTTAAAAAAAAATTTTTTTTATTAATTGTTATTATTTTATTTATTATTTCTTAAAGTAGGGTTTTTTTTTTTGGAGAGGTTTTTGCTATAGGGCGCGTGCGCTCGCCAGACAGACAGAGAGAGACATAGAGACAGAAAGTGAGAAATCACCCGCCAGAGGGGATGGTCACGCTGCAATCCCTTCTCCTCCATTCTCCTCTCAGGATCTTGGGCATGCCCGCACACGCACCTGGCGTGAGTTTTAAGCCACCAGGTCCGGGACGCGAACTGCGGTCGACTACATGGTAGTCCAGTGACATAGCCATTACGCTAACTGTTGGTTCCCAAAGTAGGTATTTTTTAACTGCATTTTTTAGTTTCAAGAAAAACAGTTTTAGTTTAATAGATCAAACTCAAAAAATGTTAAGAGAAATTTGCATAAGACTTAAAGCCAGGAAAAAGGTTAGGATTCAGTTCAAACACTAGGTAGATGAAACTATCAACAGTTCAAGAGAAGACAAAAATCCTTGAATATGGAAAACAAAGCACAGAAGAAAAGCAGTAATGTTTTAGTCAAAAGTCATAAATTCTATTTCATCAGTTCAGTCTCATGTAATTAATCTCTCTTCTATTGAATCTGTAATGTTATTGTGGTCTGATCTTTCCATTTAAACCCTGGAAGTTAACATTCAACTCTGGACTTGTTCTTATCACTAGGTTAGTCATTTTCTTGGTGGTTTTCGGTACTCTTATTTCTGTGTGTCCGACTATCTGACTTTAGTTTTACTGGAATAGCACTCCCTTCAGCACTCCTTGGAGAGCTGGTCTGGTGTTGGTAAATTATTTCAGGTTTTATTTATCTAAGAATGTTTTTGTCTTTTCTTTCCACATGAAAGATAACCTTGCCACATACACTATTTTTGGTTGAAATTGTTTTTCACTTAACATTTTGAATATATTTTCCCATTCTTTACTTGCTTGCATTGTTTCAGATGAGAGGTCTGCTATTAGCCTGATGGGATATCCTTTGAATGTAACTTGATGTTTCTCTCTTGCCAATTTTAGTATCTTGTCTCTGTGGTTTTAGTCAATCTGGCTATGATGTGTCTTAGAGAAGACCTTGTGTTAATTCTATGTGGGATCCTTTGTATTTCTTGGGTCTGGATATTTGAGTGCTTCTCTAGGTTCGAAAAGTTTTCTTCCAGGATTTCAAGGAATACATTATCAATGCCCTTAGGTTCTTCACCTTCTGGGATACCGATGATCTGGATGTTTATGCGTTTAATGGTATCTGTTAGGCTGGAGGCCTGGGCAGCTTGGATGTGGGGGTTGGACACCACGCCATAGTCGGCTGATAAAACCCAGATCTAGTCTGTTATCAGACCTGCGAAAAGTTTTCTTCCAGGATTTCAAGGAATACATTATCAATGCCCTTAGGTTCTTCACCTTCTGGGATACCGATGATCTGGATGTTTATGCGTTTAATGGTATCTGTTAGGCTGGAGGCCTGGGCAGCTTGGATGTGGGGGTTGGACACCACGCCATAGTCGGCTGATAAAACCCAGATCTAGTCTGTTATCAGACCTGCGCTGCACTAGGATCTAACCAGGATGTATCACATGTGCTCTACTCTGCACATGGCACTCTACTCACATGTCACCAGACCTTATGTGGCACAGTAGTCCGCTCTCCCCCTAAACCTTTACCATGCATGGACTATTTCTACCTCTAAGACACTCCCCCTCCCTATACCCTTATAAAAATCGCTAACCCCCTCCCTAGGGCGTGACTTCTCTGGCCCCCTCTCTTTCTCTGTGGGACTAGTGAACCTCACCCAGGAGCGCTCCTAATAAAGGCTCTACATTTCTATTTTCTTGCATGGTCAGCCCATTCCTTATAGTATCTAGTATTACTTATATAATATTTTAATTTTGGGAGAGTTATTTTCTCAAGCCTTTTTGGTGAATTTTTCTAGGTCAGTAGTTCTATCTTTTACATCTGAGATTCAATCTTCTGCATGATCTAATCTGCTTTTAATACTTTAAGGGGAGGTTTTGATTTCCTGTATTATAGCCTTCATCTCTAACAATTCCATTTGATTCTTTTTTATGGTGTGTATTTCCTCTTTCAGATTGGGTAAGAACTTCCTCACCTCTTGAGAATTGTCTCTTTTCTCCTGCATCTTCTGGAGTTTGTTGTCTCTCTTCTCTTGCATCTCTGTTAGCTTTGTCACTATGAATATTTTAAATTCTTTATCTGACATTTCCATGAGTTCCCTTGTACAGTCTGTGAAGGATAAGGAGTTATTCTTTTCCCTTGGGGGGAAATATTTTCTTGGTTTCTCATATTTCTTGTGTCTCTAAGGTGATTTCTGGTCATGTGATGGATTATAAGGTTTTTTTCCTAGTTTTTGGTAGTTAAATCTGAGCATTCAGAGGCATGCGGGAGGAGGCGGCCTGCAATCTCTAAACAGCATAGCTTTTCTCCCTTTGTGCAGCAGATTTAATGGAAATTGAGGATTAATCTGACTCTAAAAGTATTCAGCTACTTGGCTACTATGCACCTAGATCTGTCTAGAAACTCAGTGTGTGGAGGCTGAACAGAAAAGTGAGAAAGGTTAAAAAAAAAAAAAGGAAAAGGAAAGAAAGCAATCAAAACAGAGAAAAAACAAGATAAAAACAATTTAAAAAAATTGTAAAGGGAAAAATGAAAACTGTGCGTGCTGCATGAAAAGGGGCACTCAAAACTCAGACATAGATGGCTGGTGATTGGCTTGCCCTATGTAGGTGGGGGAAAAGGTAAACATTAGCAAGATAAAAGAGTGATGGAGAGCTAAGAAGTTTAAAAATTTAAGAAAGATAAAAAGATTAAAAAGAGAGCAAGAGAGACAGAGAGAATAAATAGGGTGCTCTAACCTGGCTGGATCTGGGGGACAAGAGGGTGAAGTCTGGACAGAAGGTCTTCAGTGGTCCTAATCCACTTACTAACTATTTTGACTTTGCGTATGAAAGCAAGCAGTCTGGACCAGGACTCGACTGTGGTCAGTGATGTGAGAGTCCAGCCGCCTTAACTACCATGCCACCTGCTGGCCCCCAGAAAAACTTTTAATGTATGTGTGTATGTGTGTGTTTTAATTTGCCAGAGGGCACATATACCTGTTGAAGAGAAGCAGAGAGAGAAAGAGAGAGAGAGCCAGGGAAAAAGCATTCCCATGCTTGGGGCACAGTCATGCTGCAATCCATTCTCCATTCCTCCTTTTGGGATTTTGGATACTCATGTGTAGGCACTCAGCGATTTTTTTTCCAGCTGCCAGGTCAAGGACTGGGACTGTGCTATCAGCAATGTGGGATCCAGCAGCCTTAACCACCACACTTCTGGCTGGCCCCAGAATAATTTTTCACTTTAATCACCATAATTGTGACATGGCTCCCTAGGTTCCTATTAGAAGTACCACAATCAACAACAGCTCAACATTCTCAGTGCAGGGTACCATTCTGAGACCTTGACCTGTTGTCTTAGTTATTTTGCTGACAGCTCTTGGAGGCAGGTACTAATAGTAGGCACATTTTGCAGATGAGTTATTTATTTATTTATTTTATTTTAAAAAAAATTTGGAGAGGTTTTTGCTATAGGGTGTGTGCACTCGCCAGAAAGACAGAAAGAGACTGAGAGACAGAAAGCGAGAAATCACCCCCCAGGAGGGATGGCCATGTCGCAATCTCTTCTCCTCCATTCTCCTCTCAGGATCTTGGGCATGGACGCACATGCGCCTGGCGTGAGTTTAAGCCACTGGGTCTGGGACTCATACCGCAGTCGGCTACATGGGAGTCCAGCGACATAGCCATTATGCTAACTGCTGGTCTCCAGATGAGTTATTGAAAGGCTAATTTGCCTAACATCCTGCTACAAAGCAGTGGCAGAGACAGGATTCTGGTCCATGGCAGTGGAAGTCCAGAGACAGCATTCTTATCTACCTCACTATATTCCGGCCTTCCAGCTGTCAAATTAAATTCCGTAGTTTGGGGCTCGAGATCTCCATCACCCGGCCCCTCCTTGGTTTCAGTGCTGATCAATACCCTTGCTATTCTGGCTGAGACCGCATCTTTATTGAGCCCTGCCATCTCCTTCCTTTCTTAACCTCACCTTCTAATCTAGCCCCTATGGCTATTCTCACCATTAATGTAAATCCCATTTTCCTTCTCTGACCACCCTTGTGATGAGCTGGATTTACTACAGATCTTGGTGCCTAACTAAGCTCTATCTTGGCTATGGATAGGTAAGATCTAACTTATCTATCTGGCTTATGATGTGAAATACAGCTCCTCCTCTGACACTCAAGGCCTGCCACCTACATGACTGACCAGTTTTCCAGCTTTTTCTCTCTCCCCTCTACCCTTCACAGTTTTAGCCAATCAGACAAACGGGTCTTCAAACAACCATGTCTATTCAACTCCAGGGCCTTTGCTTATGCTATTCCTTTTCTCTAAAATCCCCTGCCCTGGTGTTACCATGCCGTGTCCTTGATCTTGGCCTCCTGGACTCTTACCCATCCTTGAAGTCCCACCTGAAATGCTATTGTCTTTATATGCCTTTTTAAAATCCTCATAAGCATGTGTAAATTTTCTGCTGTCTTTACTTTTTCTTTTCTTCTTTTTTTAAAATTTGCTAGAGGGCATGTACACTTGCCAGGAAGAGACAGAGAGAGGGACAGTGAACGAGCACTCTCCATGGGGAAGGCCACATCACAATCTCTTCAGGATTTGGGCATGCATGCACACATGCCCACACTGTTTCTCAAGCCACCAGGTCCAAGACTTGAACCAGTCAGCCAGCCATGTGGGATCGAGCTGCCTCAACCACCATGCCAACAGTTGGCCTTGTCTTTCACTTGTATATCACTATTTCTCTAACTTCACATTAATTAGCTTTATATGTTAAACAACTATACCACAACGTTGTGAAGAACAAATATCTTTTCAATTGCATGTTGTCCCAGGCGGGCTCTCTTGTGAGCCTCATTTCCTCAAACTAACTAAAAGCCCCTCAAGTATAAAGCATCTAGCCTACTGCTTGCAAGTTAGATCAAAACTTCAGATTATTTCATGAAGTGCCATATGTCTTAACCGTATGACCTAAATATTGTTTATAAACCAATAATCTCATGTCCCTCAAGTGGAATGCATTCATTAAAATGTTTTTTTTTTGTTTTGTTTTTTTGCCATTTCAAAGCCTAAAAAAGTATTTGCAGTGGTGCCTTTGTACTTGTATAATTTCCCAAGAATCACACAAGTTCAGTGAACTCACCCTGCGCATTCTCATACTTTCAGGATAATCAGGACATTAAGAGCCATTTTTAAGTACAGTCTAATTTTAGAAATACTCACAGCAAAGGCTAGATGGTCTGTCGCCAAACCAAAATCACCTATTTTCACACGGTCATCAGAGTCCAAGAAAATGTTAACAGGCTTCAAATCCCGGTGAATCATTCCCTGTTGGAAGTAAGTGAAGTAAGTGAAGAAGCCAATCATTGTCTCCCACAGTGGTTCATTGTTCCCTAATTTATTTATTCCTTTTTCTTTTGTCTTTTTCTTTCTCTCTCTCTCTTTTTAAATCTATTTGTTATTTGTTGTGATTTTGGGGCCATCAGGTCCAGAATTTAAACTGTGGTTGGCCAGGTGAGAGTCTAGTGTCTTAACCACTACACCATCTGCTTGCCCCCATTGTTCCCTAATTTCAAAGGCCAACCTAGTGATGAAAATTGAATGAAGTAGTCCTGAAAGTCCACCCTGGCCCAGGCTGTATGGCCTCTGCAACGGCTCTCGAATGTCCCGACTTCCCAACCAGCTCCCAGTTCTACCAGCCGAGGTCCTGGGCAGGTGAGATCGAAACAATTCCCTGTGGCACCCCAGGCCCCCCAAATTGTGTTCATTGGACTACCTTCTCCTCTGGTGCATCACCAAACTCCTGCTCTGGTCATGGAGACATACCATTTTCATTCCTTCTTCTATTTCTTTCTTTGCAGAAGTCCCTCTACGATACTCTTGTTTATTTCCATTTATTCAGATTTTACCAACATTTACAAGAGCCGATTCATTTATGAGCTTTCTAGGGTCATTTCACTTCACCTCTCCAGAACACACAGTATGTGCTCAAGGATTACCATTAGGTGAACCCTGCTTTATCTTCCTAATGACTCAAAATGTTTATCGCTTCATGTATTACAACAAGGAAACAATTAAGTGTGATAAAAACGCTTCATTGTGTGAACTCTTTTAACATTACATGAAGGTAAATTCTGATTCCCTTCAAAAACAAGACATCCTGGAACCAGGAGTTAGCGTAATGGCTATGTTGCTGGACTCCCACGTAGTTGACCACGGTTCGCGTCCCGGACCCAGTGGCTTAAAACTCATGCCGGGTGCGTGTGCGTGCGGGCCCAAGATCCCGAGAGGAGAATGGAGAAGGGATTGTGGCGTGACCATCCCCCCTGAGGGGTGATTTCTCGCTTTCTGTCTCTATGTCTCTGTCTGTCTGGCGAGCACACGTGCCCTATAGCAAAAAACCTCTCCAAAAAAACAAGACATCCCTCTCAGGCACGGGGTCTATCACGTACTTGTGTCCCTCAGAGTTCCCAGGTGCAGCACAATGGTAGACGCCCTGCAAGCGGTTGGCAGTGCCGAGAGGAAGAGAGCACACAGAGTGCAGTTCTTCGATCCCGGGTGACAGCATGGTAACAGGGTTCTAGTGGCTCTCATCAGAACTCATTTTTATTTGCAACCTTGCAAATTCTGCTTTCACCAAATCATTCAGAAACTAGATGCCTGTAACTTACTGCCCTGTCTTCTCAGTAAAAATACAGCACAGTATAAACACATTAAGGTTTAGGAAAATTGAAGCAAAGGAAAATACTCATATGTTTATACTGGCTAATGCATTAGACAATCCTATTTTTAAAATGTAAGCTGTGTTTCGTCCCGAAGCTAGGCTCACTGACATTTACATTAATGGCAACCTCTAGCTTTAAAGTGACATTTTATAAAGCAGTTCATGTACGTGGAAATCTTCATTACTCAGTGTCTCATTTCTTTCCTTGTTGGGTGACTTTCTAGCTTCCCCGTGCTCCTAGGAAGGGGAGTATGAATTCAGTTAGAATCAATTAACTTGGCATTTATTCATCACATTCTGTTTTTGTTGCTGTTTTGTTTGTTTTTAATTTGCCATAGGATGCATGCATGTGCTTGCTGGAGAGAGACAGAGAGAGCAACGGAAAATGAGAAAGCACTCCCTGGGGGAGGATGGCCACACTGTAATTCCTTCTCCTCCTCTTAGGATTTTGGGCACACATGTATATGAACATTATATGCCTGACTGCAGGGTCCGGGACATGAACTGCACAGTTGGCCATGTGGATCCAGTCTCTTTAACCACCATGCCTACAGCTGTCCCATTTTATTTTTAAACCACTCATCTATCCAACCTTATGGGGCTAGTAGGTGGTGTGGTGGTTAAGGCGCTGAACTCCTACATGGCCGAGTGAGGTTCCAGTCCCAGACCTGGTGACTTGCTTTCTCACTTTCCCTCTTTTTCTCTCTGGTGAGCATACATGCTTTATATAGCAAACTTAAAAAAAAAAAAATACTAAAGTAAAGTAATTTTAGAAAGAATAATCCTCACATTCCACACATGTTCAATTATTTCCTCTCCACCCAGAGGTTGGCAAACGTATTCTATAGAGGATCAGATAGTAAGTATTTTAGTTGCAACTATTCGAATCTACTGCTATGGCAAAAAGCAGCCATCGGAAATACAGAAACAATCGGGTATGGCTGTATTCTAATAAGACTTTACTGATGTACACTGAAATTTCAATTTTATTTTGTATTCATGTGTCATGAAATATTCTTTTTAAGATTTTATAAAAAATGTAGGCCCAGCCATGGTGGCACAAGTGGGAGGGTCCTGCTGTGGGGGCTGAGATTCACAGGAGGCCTGGGTCTGCACCTGTGATCCTAGTTAACTGGGAGACTGGGGTAAGAGGAATGTAATATGACAAGACCCTGTCAAAAATATCTACCCATCCTTCTCTCCCTCCCTGTCAAAAATACCTATTCATCTTTCTCTTCCTCCTTCTCCATCTCTCTCATTTAAAAAAAAGACAAAAATGTATATGTGTATATGTGTAAATACACACACACACATACACATATATATATCTGTGCCATTCTAAGCTCACAGGCCATATAGATAAACGGGATGTGTTTAAATCATGGGCCGTGGTTTGCTAATTCTTTTTTTTTTTTTTGGAGAGGTTTTTCTCTATAGGGCGCGTGCGCACGCCAGACACACAGAGTCATAGAGACAGAAAGCGAGAAATCACCCCCCAGGGAGGATGGTCACGCCGCAATCCCTTCTCTCCTCCATTCTCCTCTCAGGATCTTGGGCACACACACACATGCGCTTGGCGTGAGTTTTAAGCCACCAGGTCCGGGATGCAAACCGCGGTCGACTACGTGGGAGTTCAGCGACATAGCCATTACGCTAACTGCTGGTTCCCAACGATTTGCTAATTCTTGTCCTAACCTTCAACATTTTCTTTGAACTCTGAGACTCATCCTGTTTTCTTACCTTTTGGTGCTGTTCAGTTTCCTCCAAAAACAGATTATCTCAACATACCCCGAGATTTTGGGTTTTCTCCGTCTCAACAGCATTTGATGTTTTCACTCAGTTCTGTGTTTCTATAAATGTAAGTTTCAGATGTGCAATGTTGTAAAGCTTACCTTCTCGTGGATATAAGCCAATCCATCCAGAATCTCTCGAAAAAGCCTCCAGAGCCTGGTGGTGTCTTGGTACAGTCCCTGGTCAATGGTGTCCCGTAATGTGCTCTTCTCACAGTACTCCATCTGCAGGCAGGAGTGGACCAGGCACAGCATGGTCACACAGGGCTTAAATTAAAGAGGATAACTGCAATCCTCCATTTTAATACTTCGACTTTGTTTTTTCTTTGCCAGAAGTGTGCATGTTTGTCACAGAGAGACAGAGAGAGAGAGAGATGGAGAAAGCATCTCACCTGGGGAATGTCACGCCATAATTCCTCTGCCATTTCTCCATCCTATCGGGATTTGGGGCATGCACCACACAAGCCTGGTGTGTTTTTCAGGCCACAATCAGACTTGAACCTTATAGTCAGCTGAGAGTGACCCAGCTCTCCCATCATTAGGCCATAAGGCTGGACTGAATCATGGTTTTTAAACAGTCATGGGAAAGACTTGATTCTTTTTATCCTAAAACAAGACTCACTTGTTCAAAATCCTTGTCACAAGTATAAAAAAGTGAGAACACAGTAAAATTTTTTTGATTGTTTGACAAGACTGCTTCCACACCCAAATTTCTAAGGGCTAATTAATCTAATGAGGTCATTGGCCTTTTTTATTTACATGAAACAAGTGATCTTCAAGTCTAATGCAAAACGTTATAAATATTAAAACATTCAATGAAGGGGCTTTGTTTCTACCCTTTTTGAGTGTATCAATGTACAAGAGAAGAATGTATGTTGCATTTGATTTATAAAACTAGTCTGCGTGTTTCAACCAGTTACAGGACTAAGATTTCTTACGAAGGATTTTATTATTTATTTTTAAGGCTTTTGCCATAAGGCACATATGCTCATCAGATATAGAGATGGTGAGAGGGAAAACAAGGAGGGTTGGCCACACTGCAATTCCTCCCCTTGGGATTTTGGCACACACAGACATGCATTAATCATTATTTTCAAGCCACTGGGTGTAAGACTTGAACCGTGGTTGGCCAAGTGAGAGTCCAGCACCTTAACCATTATGCCAACCTGCTGGCCTTGGATTATTGTCTTTAAAGAGAAGAAAATAAGCCTTTGTTCTCTTAACCTTGAAATAACTCATCAAATTCTGACTCAAGCTCCAGGGCTATCTGGGTTCCATAAAGCCTCTTCTGACACCCACACTAAGATCCTCACTGCATCCTGGATACACCACCTTTGTGTACTGTTGGGTCACCTTAATTGTTTTGAAAGTAACCGCATATAGTAGACACTACATAGTGGTCTTGGGGACAAATACTTTATTACCTTTGTAAGTGTTATCTCGAAGATATTTATGTTAGGGAACATCCAAACTAGTTCCAACTCCAGGAAAGCAACACCCAATTAGTCTCTTCTGAAACACTCCAGGCTGTCTGAGGGTTCCTCTTTTTGCACGGTACTGCTTCTTACAGTTAAAGGCCTGCCTACTGCAGTTAAGACTGGAAACACTAGCAGCAACCCAGAGTCCCATTCGCCTGACACAGGAGATTCTTCTTTGGTCTATGGCTGCCCCTCTGCTGGCACAGCCCAGTGCTGTTCAGCATGCCACTGTCTGGGTATGTAGGCGGGCCAGAGTCTCAGCTTCTTTTCTTTCTTTAAGACATTTTTGCTTTACGGTACATGTGCTTGCTGGACACATAATCCGACACATACACACACACAGAAAGAGAGAGAGAGAGAGAAATCATCCCCCCAGGGGTGCAATCCTTCCCCCATTCTCCTCAAGGGATTTTGGGCATGCATGTATATGTGCCTGGTGTGAATTTCAATTGTTGGGTCTGGGACTGGAACTGCTGTCAGTGCCTTAACCACTATGTTACCTGCTGGCCCCCTGGTTTTATTTCATAATACCTCCTGGAACTGGGCTGCCTGTGGCTCTTGCCACCCAAATACCTGGACAAGCTGCTTTGCCTAAAGCATGTCAGTTTTCCTTTTGTACGCACAGGCACGTTTGTGTATCATTCCTTACTTGTCTGGACTCGGCTTGCTGGACCAAGTGGAGCCACTGTACAGGCAGTCTAGCGTTTATGGGTCTAAGCACTTCATGCATGGCATCTCACTGACCCTTCACGAGTCTATGACATAGCTGCTACCATGTGATTTACTGATGGGGAAAAAAGGCACAGAATGCTGAGGAATGCTGTCTGAGCTCACGCAGTTGGGACAAGTGGATCTAGGATGTGAACGTCCACAACTCCATAGTCACCCCAGGCCATGTCCTGATATGTCACGGGAAAGTATAAGTTCAAGGCTGGGGACAGAGGCCTCTGTGCTGCAATCCTCTCTGGCCACTTACTCCTTGGTAGTGCCAGTAAGCCCTCTGCTGCCCATCATCTTGCTCCAGCATCCTGAAATATGCCACCAGCAACTACTGGGTGTTGCTGCCACCAAGCTGCACACCTGGGCCTCACCTGGATGTACAAGTAGTGGACAGCCTTGGTCATCAGCGATGGCTCACTTTCCTGGCAACTGTTCTTTTCATTGCAGTCTTCATCCTAATCCAAGAGGAACACAAGAGAACTCAAAATGGGGGCTGAAATGAAGCAAAATCATCACCGTCATCAAATATCTGTGCCACTGCCTCCCACATACATGGCCATCCAGTTGTCTTAGGGGGAGGTCAGCAGGACACTGTCTGGGTATGTAGGCGGGCCAGAGTCTCAGCTTCTTTTCTTTCTTTAAGACATTTTTGCTTTACGGTACATGTGCTTGCTGGACACATAATCCGACACATACACACACACAGAAAGAGAGAGAGAGAGAGAAATCATCCCCCCAGGGGTGCAATCCTTCCCCCATTCTCCTCAAGGGATTTTGGGCATGCATGTATATGTGCCTGGTGTGAATTTCAATTGTTGGGTCTGGGACTGGAACTGCTGTCAGTGCCTTAACCACTATGTTACCTGCTGGCCCCCTGGTTTTATTTCATAATACCTCCTGGAACTGGGCTGCCTGTGGCTCTTGCCACCCAAATACCTGGACAAGCTGCTTTGCCTAAAGCATGTCAGTTTTCCTTTTGTACGCACAGGCACGTTTGTGTATCATTCCTTACTTGTCTGGACTCGGCTTGCTGGACCAAGTGGAGCCACTGTACAGGCAGTCTAGCGTTTATGGGTCTAAGCACTTCATGCATGGCATCTCACTGACCCTTCACGAGTCTATGACATAGCTGCTACCATGTGATTTACTGATGGGGAAAAAAGGCACAGAATGCTGAGGAATGCTGTCTGAGCTCACGCAGTTGGGACAAGTGGATCTAGGATGTGAACGTCCACAACTCCATAGTCACCCCAGGCCATGTCCTGATATGTCACGGGAAAGTATAAGTTCAAGGCTGGGGACAGAGGCCTCTGTGCTGCAATCCTCTCTGGCCACTTACTCCTTGGTAGTGCCAGTAAGCCCTCTGCTGCCCATCATCTTGCTCCAGCATCCTGAAATATGCCACCAGCAACTACTGGGTGTTGCTGCCACCAAGCTGCACACCTGGGCCTCACCTGGATGTACAAGTAGTGGACAGCCTTGGTCATCAGCGATGGCTCACTTTCCTGGCAACTGTTCTTTTCATTGCAGTCTTCATCCTAATCCAAGAGGAACACAAGAGAACTCAAAATGGGGGCTGAAATGAAGCAAAATCATCACCGTCATCAAATATCTGTGCCACTGCCTCCCACATACATGGCCATCCAGTTGTCTTAGGGGGAGGTCAGCAGGATTAGGGGGGGGGCCAGCAGTAGGAACCCAGCCACTGTCTTTTAGAAGCTCACGGCATCTTTAAGGCTAGTTTGCTGTTTCTCTGCAACATCTCACAGCCCTAGCCGGTGGGGTTTTATGGGCTGCTGGACTCCCACACAGCCCAACTGTGGGTCACCTCCTGGACCTGGCAGCTTACTGTCTCTCTCCATCTCACTCCAGTGAGTACATGTGCCCAATAGCAAATTAAAATAATAATAATAATAATTAATAATTCTTTTAAAAAAGATTAATAGATGTGGGAGAGACTAAGGGAACCATTATTAGACTATTTAGTTACTCAATTATTTTGCATTTAATCCTTATCCATAGAAAGTTTCTCCAAATCCTCTAGAAAATTATTTTTATTACACACAAAAAAATGCAGTTTGTCTCAATCCACTTTTCTCTTTTAAAAGCTGGGGCAGGCAGGTGGTATGGTAATGAAGGACTGGATTTCTACATGGCTGACTGCAGATTGAGTCCTGGACTGGAAGGCTTCCTTTCTCGCTTTCCCCCTCTCTTTCTCTGTATCTCTCTGGTCAAATTAAAAAATAATAATAACAAATGGAATTAAATAAATAATTCTTTAAAACAAAAGCAGGTATGCTTTCCTATATAAAGGCATACAAATAAATGCTAGTAGCACATATTTTAAATAAATGATGTTTTAAAATTGATGGTGTATTGGGAACCAGCAGTTAGCGTAATGGCTATGTCGCTGGACTCCCATGTAGTCGACCGCGGTTCGTGTTCCGGACCCGGTGGCTTAAAACTCACGCCTGGCGCGTGTGTGTGCGTGCCCAAGATCCCGAGAGGAGAATGGAGGAGAAGGGATTGCGGTGTGACCATCCCCCCTGGGGGGTGATTTCTCGCTTTCTGTCTCTATGTCTCTCTCTGTCTGTCTGGCAAGCACCCGTGCCCTACAGTGAAAATCTCTCCAAAAAAAAAAAAAATTGATGGTGTATTTATTTGCATATCATATTAAGGCTATAATAATTTACCTGAGTTTTATAACATCAGACATTAGTTTTCTAATACTCCCACCCTATGATGAATATCAATGTAATTTCTATTTAAGTATTTACCTGGTTCTGGCTTTTGCTGTTCTCATCTTCATTGTCAAAGATGATATCACTTTCAGAATCTGAATTAGCAGGTCTTAAAAAAAGAAAGAGAAAAATGCTCAAGAAACCAAAATCTCTGTTATAATCCTAAAAATCAACACTCTTGTTATGTATGAGAAAGCACAAAAAGTTACAGACACTGCACTTTGACCCCACAGACACAAATCTGTCCAACATCATGCTGGCTTAGGCTTTGCTAAATCTAAAGCATAGAACTCTTAGTTTAAATACTAATTAGCCAGAATAAGCTTCCTGGAAAAAAAATTTCCAGAGGGTCCCTTGCACTTACTAAGAACACAGAGATAGGGAGAGGGAAAGTACGAAAGCACCCTCCCATGGGGCATGGTCACGCTACTGTCCCTTCTCCATCTCTCCCTCCTTTCACAATTTTGGGCATGCATACACATCGCCAGGTGTCTTTTTCAAGGTGTTGGGTCTGGGAGTCAAACCGTGTAGTTGGCCATGTGGGATTCAGCCACCTAACCACCACACCACCAGTTGGCCCTAAAATAAAAATTAATAGCTAAGAAGTATAATAAATTACACCCAACTAAATACATACAATCATAAAACCAAATGACCTGGCTAGAGTCTGAGATGCATAAACTTTAGCTCAGAGTAATGATTATTGGTTTGGTAACCTATTCTACAAATGCAGTTGGCCCCGTATCAAGAATCCAAATTAGTTCTGAAACTCCACAGAGTTGAATGTCCTTATCTGAGGGATGCCCTAAAAAAGAGTGAGCTAAATAAAACAAAAAAGCAAAAGGAATCCCCTGTAAGAAATTCTATTAACATATTAAGATGAGGTATGGAGATAATTTCTATTTTTCCTCTCTCCAAGGCTTGGATTTAGATAAGATCTTCTGAGGATAGTAGGGGAAAAGTCCTTAGGATTACATTTAGTTACTCTCTGAAATGTGTTTCAATGGCTTTTGTTAACATGGTCAATATGTCTGATTTTCTAAGAGAACCAACCGCAGGCCCAGGGCCCATGCCAGGCCTGTGCTCTGAAAGCGCTGGGTGCACTTACAGGAAAGACTGTGAGAAGACACCATCATGCTCATCCTCGTCGTCATCCTCATCACTGCTGGAGCCTGGGCCTGCAGTGGAGAAGCGAGTACTGGCTGAACGCTCACCCGAGGTGCTCCACTCCACTGAACTGCTGAGGATGGGTGGTGGTGCAGCAGCCTCCACGCTGTCTGGGCTGTCTGTGTCACCAGCGTCACCTGCTGGTTGCCCACGTAAGGCCTGTCCATTTCGGGCCAGGGGCCGTGAGTCTGCAGGTAGTGTCCCTGGGTTTGCAGGCTGTTCGTGCCGCTCGATCCAGGCATTGTAGTAGCGCACAATGTTCTCATGGTGCAGGCGTGACAGCAGCGTCACCTCGCCTTTGATCCTGCGGAAGTGCCTGCTGGCTGGGTTGATGGGGATGCGCTTCACGGCATAGCAGCAGCCGTCCAGCTTATTTTGCACCTGACCCACAGGAAGGGGAGGAGACCCCATAAAGTCAGCTGCTTTGAACCTTGTAGAGATTGGCAGCTATACTGTGTCACCCTCTCCCTCCCAAGGAGAACCTGGGGTTCTGAGTGAGAATCAGCAGCTACAGTCAAGAGCCACGTCTGAAATTCAAACTGAAGAGAGAGCTTGGTTGGGCAAAAACTTAAAAAGCAACACACCCAACCTATATATATTTAGCTTGTTAGAAGACCCTGGAAAAAAACACAATCTTTTTTTTTTTTCCAGTAGGTCATGTGTGCTTGCAGAGAGACTGAGAGAGAGAAAATGAGAAAGCACTCCCTGGAGGATGGCAAGGCAACAGTATATGCTCCTCCATTTTCCTCTCTGGATTGTGGGCACACATGCACATACACCAGGAGTTTTTCGAGTCCCCTCTGGGGCTGGAACTGTGGCTCCAGCTGCCTTATCCACTGCACCACCAGCTGACCTTCACCCCCCCATCATAACTGCTATCTACATTGCTAAATAAACTTTGATTTAAAAATAAAAGTTATTGTTAAAAGTGACTGTAAGGTTTCAGATGACAATTTTGTTTCTGATTTTGTTTTTATATTCCATGTCACCAAAATCAAATTAAATATCCAAATGTTACCAGATCTAAATGCAAATGCTAGTTCCCTGATTTATAAAGGATTTATAAAGTGTGAACATGGGCAAATTATTTAATTTCCTTGAGATTCACTTTATCCATAAACTAGCATTTATACCATCTCAAACAGTGACTGAAGGATTAAATGAGGCTATGTGGGTACAGCACCCATATCAAGGCCTCACAGAGAAAGGTACTTAGCCAATAATAGCAACTGCTATTAGCACAATGACTGCCCATTGAGTTTGTTATGTAACTAAGATTTATGATGTGTACCCAAACTAGAAAATACGATTCAGAACACAATAAAATAATATAACTACAAGAAAAAATTTTCAAAGGCAAGTCCCCATACAAAGAGACAACCTTATTCAGGGTGGTTTTGCCATGTAGTTAGATGGACAGAAGTAACTTTTATAAAGTCTTGTTCACTGGAACATTCCAGTTCCACTGTGCAGGTCAAGTAAGGTGATAATTTACTCTAGAAAAGCAACAATTCAACCTTGAGCAGAGGGAGAAACAAATTGATTACAAAAGATAAAAGAGAAAATCACTTTCATTTGACTCACAAGTTTCAATTAGACTATTAAAAGCTGCCTTAGGAATAAGAAAGAAATACTATAAAATTCAATTTTGGATGGCTTTTTCTTTGGTATGTGAAACAAAAACACTTTAAATTACATTAAAAAAATAGCTGAAACCTCATTCTACAAGGGGCAGATATTAAGTCACCCAAGTAGATTGGAATGAAGAAAAGAAGACCTACCAACAGCATACCTTAATAACACACCACTAATTTCCCATCTTGGTAAGAACTTGAAAATAGCCATCAAGGACATTTCCCTGTCTGAATTCCATTTCTGTTCTAACCCTGGAACCCTTTTCTGTCCCTACAGCAACTCTAACAGTAAGTGGGAGAAAAAGAACAATTTTCTTTCTGAACCAAAGCACAGTAAAAATGTTCTTTATGTATAGGTCTTGACTTCACTTGAAATACTATCATAATTATGTGTTTTTCATCTTATGCTTTACATCAAGCAAAATGAGAGAGAGAAAGAGAGAGAGAGAAATGATGCATTCTGAATCTGTCCAGTGTAGTTTTAAATAAAGCCTTCAACTCCAGGAAGATGAAGATGATCGTAGTTTCAAAGTCATATTCACTTCTCTCCTCACCCCCAAATAGAAATTAAGTCTATAATTCATTAGCAGAAATGGAACACAAGAGCTGTGAAAGGGACTGGGGACAACTCTATCACACCTTGATGACAGCTCCAAAGGCTCCTTTGCCGAGAAGTTGTAACTCTTCAAACTCAATGAAATATCGGGAAAACTGCCTCTGCGTCTCAGTGAAGAATGCAGCACTGGGTAGCTGGTTGCTAGGTATAACAGTCTCAGCGTAATCCTGACCACCGGAATCTGAGATAAAACAAAGGTGAGAACCTAATGAAGCGCTAAAGTATGGGTAAGGGCGATATCCCCAGCAACACAAGCACAGGAAGCAGGGGTGCCGATTTAAAAAAGTACCTCTTTCTCATGTGACCCTCTAACCCTTCCCCTCACTTTGTCCTCTGTAAAGTAGGTAGAAATACACAACTGATCCAAGTTTGCAGGTGAGGGTAACTGAAATAGAGTGATTGAATTACAGAGCCAGAACCCAAGCTCAAGTCTCCTGATTCATCTCAATATCTGCTGAGGTTTCTTAATCTGCTACTTAAGTAGCAGCAGGAAAATCTAGTTTCATGACAGTAAGGTGGACATGACAAGAAGGCTGACTAGAGAAGCTATACCAATGGCATTCTATCAGCAGAGACTGGAAAAATGGGAGTGGCAAAATCGTCCAGTGTATTGAGCATACATCAGATGAATGGATGCATTGTAATTCTGCATAAAACAGATAAACACATGATCCACACAGCCTCTGCCTGTTTTTGGTTTATGTACACTTTCAAAATAATCTTGCGTCAAACAGGTCCCAGAAAAGGATGGTAACAGACTCACCATCAGGACTCTGGTCCAGCAACGGTATTTTGGGCTGAGTATTTATAAAGCAGTGTTTCAACAACTGCTGAGGGCTCCATCTTTCTTTGTCATCCAAGCAAACACACCTTAAAGGGAGGGTAGGAAGAATTTCAGCAACACACAAAGTAAATGCCACGCTCATTAGTCTAAGACATTTCACTATGGGTTTGTTTTTTTCTTTTTTTTTTTTAGAGTTGTTTTTTTTGTTTTTTTTTGTTTTTTTTTTTTTTTTTTTTCTTTAGGGCCCGGTCACTCCCCCGTCACGCAAGGGGG